TCAGGGTGGATATAGCTCGCTAACAGCTTCGCACCGAGGACCTATCCACATCATCATTTACCCAGAATGCTTTGTGTGTAAATAAAATGGCTCCGTCCGTGTAATATATTTTTAAACTTTTAGTTTAAAAATTATGGAAACTAAACAGCCTACAGTATTTTAACTGTCTTTATTTTACAGTTAAAATACAGTATATGTTTATCAAATAAAGTCTAATGTTACAACTAATCATGGATCCCTTTAAAGCTTTTCTTTAAATGTAGGACTAGTCTTTGTTATGACCAGCTCACACTGAACACATCTTCACAAAGAATTTAACTTATTGTGTAGGCTAACTTGAAATAAAAATAGTATATATCTTTTACGTGACTTTGTACCTAATGGTGTAAGAGAGGTTTTATTTAGTGAAACAAAAATAGGTAAATGGGTTAGGATTAGACCTCAGAAGGGTGGCTGGCTTTTATGTTCCTTTGATAGTTTCACAGTAATTCTACTTTAAACAACAAATGAAAGGCCACACCTGAGCACAGCGCTGTAGGAAAGTGCCACATTGTACACGTTTATTAATAGCACCCTCTCCAGTTCAGTGAGACCTGCTGCTCAGTCAGAAGTGCAACAGAAAAATTGCATTACCTTGAATTTTTTTTCCAAAGCTGCTGTGAAAGGCCCCCCATGCGTCGGTCCAAGCGAAGCACTGTGTTTTGCATAAACAGCTATATGTTTATTACCTGCAGGAAGCAGTGGTATAATTTTTTTCTGGAACAAGCAGAACATCATTAATTCACCATGAGCACAGTTTTTTTTAATCCTTCTGTGTGCTTCCGTTCAGAATGACTTGCACAAGGCTGCGTTTTAATTACAAAAACAGGCTGAAATGGATTTCTTTTTGGATCTGTAATTAAAACAAATTCAGTCTAAACATCTAAAGGCACACATTAATGAATTTGTATTCTTATAGTTTATTGATGTTAGAGCCCGAGCCTCACATGCTGGTTTCTAGTATTTATTTATTTATTTGTAATTCCTGGGTTGATAAAGCTGCAGCAGCGCTCCGTTCGGGTACCTCTGCTCAGACGGCGCCGCCTGGCCTCCCTGGAGAGCACAGAGCAAGTCGAGGGCGGCTGCCACTTCCTCTGGCTTTTATCTGATGACTGAGTGAGAATGAAATGGAGAGAGAGAGAGTGAGTGTGTGTTTGGTTTTGTTTTTTGTGTGTGCTCTTGCGTTTGTTTGTGTCCATATTGGCGTGCGTAGGAGTTATTTAATAAATGTTTTGTTTCATTGTCCTCTACGGCTGTGTGGGAATGAAAGGAGAGAGTGTGTTCATGCTTTTTGCATAACGTCATCTCCTTTCAATTGTATGCCTCGGTGTTATCATATGCAGTTTGTGCATTTCTGATTCCCTTCGTTTATGCCATCTGCAGCAACGAGTGTGTGGAGAGGAAGGAGAGTCCCAACGTTTTCTTCTGCTGCTGCGAAGGCAACATGTGCAACGAGAGGTTCATGTACGCCCCCCAGAGCGACCCGCAGAGCGACCCACCGAGCGACACGCAACATTCAACCGCCTACAGTACGTACAGTCCAACACCCCTCTGAGAGTTACAGTTGCTGCCGTCTGTTACAGTCACACAGTTCATTTAGTACCTACTTACAGTACAGTAAGTTTCAGCTTTTCCTGTGGACCACAGTTAGTTGGTCCTCAAACAGTCACACTGTATGCTCAGGTTTTAATGTAAACATGCCAAAATATAGTAGGAACCACATCATGTCAGAGACAGTTTGCTAAACTGTGTATAGATGTATTTGTGAACATCTGCCATCTTCTCCAGTTGCTATGATTTGCCCAGATTGATAAGGATGTAGGTGACCCATCACATGGAACCAAGGAGGAAGTGTTATGTGAAGAAACAGGCCACTATAGTGCATTCATTAAACTATTTGCAACAATTGCATTTTGTCAAAATATAATGAATGTATGGGTCATTTATATAAGAAATTGGTTTTAATTACTTTTAGCGGAGGGTTTTTTTTTGTTTGTTTGTTTGTTTTTGTTTTTTTGTAGCACTTTGAGATTTTTGTTAATGAAAAGTGCGGTACAAATT